GCGCTTCCGTCATCGCGGCCCGAGCCCGATCCCGCCACCACTCCCCCCCTGGACCCTCCCACTTGATAAATATTTCCCCTCCGGGCCCGTATACAACGTCCATCGCGCGACTCTTCGAGTCTAAGCGCGCTTCCCGTCATCCGCCACCTCGGAATCCGAGGGCGATCCCGCCACCACTCCCCCCCTGGACCCCCCCACTTGATAAATATTTGCCCTCTGGGCCCGTATACAACGTCCATCGCGCGACTCTTCGAGTCTTAGCGCGCTTCCCGTCATCCGCCACCTCGGAATCCGAGGCCGACCCCGCCACCACTCCCCCCCTGGACCCCCCCACTTGATAAATACTTCCCCTCCGGGCCGGTAAACAACGTCCATCGCGCGACTCTTCGAGTCTGAGCGCGCTTCCCGTCATCCGCCAGCGAAAGTGCCGCATGCGATCCGTAACCCTTGGTTAGAAAAAATGAAGCCCCAGAACCAACGGCGCAGGAGGCGCTTCCCGTCATCCGCCAGCGCAGTTTCAAAGTGCGGCGCGTACCCGATTATAAATTTTCGCCACCAACAAACGGTCCACGCCAGGGGCGCTTCGCGTCATCCGCCGACCCTGTCAGCGTGTGGACGACACTGTCGTCGTTCTCGTAGTCGTCGTCGTCGTCGTCGTCGTCGTCGTCGTCGTCGTCGTCGTGGTCGTGGTCGTCGCAGTCGTCGTAGTCGTCGTAATCGTCGTAGTCGTCGTCGTCGTCGTCGTCGTCGTCGTCGTGGTCGTCGTCGTCGTGGTCGTCGTCGTCGTCGTCGTCGTGGTCGTCGTCGTCGTCATCGTGGTCGTCGTCAGTCCAGAAATTGAAAATCGCCGCAGTCCACTCGAAGGGAAGCCCCTTCCTTTTGATCCCCTCCCCGCCAGGAGGGGGGGGTCGCCACGGGGGGGGACTCCAGTGTCAGAAAACAGTGCCCCGTGGGGGTCCCAGGGAGGGGTCCCCTCCCTGGACACGGGGAAGTCAGCCCCCCCCCCTCGATGCCCCGGTTCCCTCCGTGGACAGGGGCCAGGGCGAACTGAGGCCCCCTTCACCTCCCCCCCACGGTCATGTGGTCAGGGGGAATAAGTCACCCCTCCTCCCGACCCCCGGCCCGGAGGCACTCTCCTCACTCTCATCTGCTGTTGCGGGACGCTGCGTATCTTCCCACATGCCTCCAACAGGCCTCAGATCCGCTTCCAGGCGTCTCCAAGTGACCACGGAGCTTCCAAGAAGTCTCCCAAGAGGCCCCCCAACAGGGCCCACGTAAGGCTCCAGAGCGTCAGCGTCGTCGTCGTCGTCGTCGTCGTCGTCGTCGTCGACGTCGTCGTCATCGTCGCCGTCGTCGTCGTCGGCGTGGTCGTGGTCGTGATCGTGGTCGTCGCACGTGGTCGTCGCAGTCGTCGTAGTCGTCGTCGTCGTCGTCGTCGTCGTCGTCGTCGTCGTCGTCGTCGTCGTCGTCGTCGTGGTCGTCGTGGTCGTCAGTCCAAAAATTGAAAAACGCCGCAGTCCACTCGAAGGGAAGCCCCTTCCCTCGTCGTTCGTCGTCGTCGTCGTGGTCGTGGTCGCCGCACGTGGTCGTCGTCGTCGTCGTCGTAGATCTCGTCGTCGTCGTCGTCGTTGTCGTCGTCGTCATCGTGGTCGTCGTCAGTCCAGAAATTGAAATTCGCCGCAGTCCACTCGAAGGGAAGTCCCTTCCCTTTGATCCCTTCCCCGCCAGGGGGTGGTCGCCAGGAGGGAGGGTCCAGGGTCAGAATACCGTACCCCGTGGGGGTCACAGGGAGGGGTCCCCTCCCTTGACACGGGGAAATCAGCGCCCCCCACGGTCATGAGGTAAGTCACCCCTCCTCCCGCCCCCCCGCCCGGAGGCACCCTCCTCACTATTATCTGCTGTTGCGGGATGCTGCGTATTTTCCCACATGCCTCCAGGAGGCCTCCAAGAAGCTTCCAAGAAGTCTCCCAAGAGGCCCCCCAACAGGGCCCACGAAGGGCTCCAGAGCGTCAGCGTCGTCGTCGTCGACGTCGCCGTTCTCGTCGTCGTCATCCCCCTTTACGGTCGGCGGCACCGTCCGTAAAGCCTTCGCAATGAAGCTCTCGCTCTACTACCGCGCACAGTATTCATGAAATGTTGCAGCAGTTACGAGACGAGGTAGTGTTTGAAATGTGGTTCTCGCCCTCGCGCCGCGCACGTTCGACTTGAAAGCTTGCAACAGGTGCATGGCTGGGGGCGTCTCTTCGTTGAAACGGGGCTAAATATCGCTTGGAGCTCGTTCAAGTCTTACGCACAATAACTTTACCGATGCACATGGAAAACCGTTACGTTCATGTCAACATTGGGCGTGTGATTTGAGACGCTCCCGTATCGCGCGCCCTGAAAGATAAAACTGCGCAGCAAGGACACACATGGAGGGCGGGATATCTTCTTATTTATTACCGCTTGCCACGTACATGAACTTTATACGTCTGCAGATTCACCTGCGAATCCGCCGTCCTCCTGGTGGGGCTACCAGGCTGTATGGCGGAGGTGCCCTGCTCCATGTGCTAGTGCCCGTTTCCAATCTCCAATGTTCCCTAGCGAGTGCTGTCGGCTGCACGTCAGAGTGACCCTGAGCAAGAGTGACCTTTGGTGCGCAGCTTTTCGGGGGGGGGCGCGAGGAGGCCAACACACCGGCGCGCAAATCGCTACCATCGCAACGAGCGCGGCGATCGGGGGACCCTGGTGAGCGCGCACCAAAGGTCACTCCGGCGAAGGGCCACTCTTGCGTATAGCCGATGCTTGCACGTATGGTCTCTTACTTACCTTCTGACGAGCTGGGCTGGCTTGTGGCCGCCCGTCGCATCAAGTCGCCGCAATCGCCGCTGGCCCCCGGTGGCGGTCCTGCCGGCTCGTCGCCGCCCATCGCCACCGTCGCTGCTTTGCCTGGCCTGGTTTACATGTGACTGCATGGCTTTACATGACACTGCCTTGCATTGGTTTGCTTGCATTGCTGTGTCGTGTTTTGCATTGCTTTGCGCTGCCTTGACTTTCTTTGCATGGCTTTGCATTGCTTTGCATCGCTTTACATTGCTTTGCAGTGCTCTGTATCGCAATGCGTTGCTTTGCATTGCAGTGCACTGTTTTGCATTGCCTTGGATTGCTTCGGATTTCGTTGAATTTCGTTGCATTGCTGTGAATTGATTTGAATTGTTTGCATTGTTTCACTGTTTTGCTTTGCTTCGCATTGCTTTACAATGCTTTGAAATAGTTTGCATTGACTTGCAGTGTGTTGCGTTGCGTTGCGTTGCTGCGCATTTCAATGTATTGCTTCGCGTTGCTTTGCATTGTTTTGCACTGCCTCAGTGTTTTGCTTTGCTTTACATTGCTTTGCAGCGTTTCGCATTGCTTCGCACTACTTTGCCTTGCATTGCTCTGCAAAATTCTGCACTGCTCTACGTTACCCTGCGTTACTTTGCAATGCTCTGCAGAGGCCAGACACCTTTCTGTCACTTACGCTGGCCTCGCGCCCCCGAATCCAGAGCACTTGGCACACTGCACCAAACTCGCGCCCCCCAGGCAGAGAGCCTCTGTGCAAATTGCGCCAGGCTCGCGCCCCCGCAGCCAGAATCCTTGCGTTGTAAAGTGCCCCAGGTTCGCGCTCCCGACACCATGATCCCTCGTAAGTGACGCAATGCTCGCGCTCCCCAAGCCAAACACCTTCGCAGATTATTCCGAACTCGCGCTCCCGAAGCTGACCCCCTGGTAAATTACTACACCACATTAGCGCTCCCGAGACCAGATGCGCCAGGATGGGCAACCTTCCCAAGGGTACCCTTGCATCCTTGCCCCTTCGGCCCATCTTTTGCGACTTTCGCTAGCCAGCCTTCTTCGACAAATGCCAACATGGCTCTCCAAAACCCTTGCATCCTTACCGCACAACCTTACTACACGGGTTGAACCGGCAGCGGATACTTACACCGATGGAGGGCGGTTATTTCTCAAAGCGCGGCGCTCGCCTGCAAAGGGAGCCATAGGGTGCTCCTCTTCAAGGGCCACCCCGCATCGACAATAGACATGTGCTGGGGCTTTTGAGGATGAGGCATGAGACGGAAGGGTGTGTTGCAGCATCGTTGATGTATCCTTTGCTCATTCAAGTCATCAATAATATCTCCACCACCACCATCACCACCCCTATCACCATCATCGTTGTCGGCATCCTCATGGTCGTCGTCGTCGCCGTCATCACGATCACCATCACCATTACCATACTCATCATCCTAATCATCATCATCATAGTCCTCCTCCTCGACATCATCATCATCATCATCATCACCATCATCACACCATCACCATCACCATCACCATCACCATCACCGTCACCGTCACCATCACCATCACCGTCACCGTCACCATCACCAACACCATCACCACCATCATCATCATCCTCATCATCATCGTCAAAATCGTCATCGTTATCATCATCGTCATCGTCGTAATCATTACCATCACCATCATCATCACCATCATACTCGTCATCAACATCACCATCGTCGTCGGCAACAACAACATCGTCATCGTCATCGTCATCGCCGTCATTCACCCTCTTCATCCCTGATCCTCGTGCCTCCTGCGTCCTCCCTCCTCGCTCGTGTGCTCCTCTCCTCCCCCTTTCTCTTGCGCAAGCTGCAAGGCACGCACACCCATAGCGTCAGACAACTTGGGGGTCCCAACACCGTGTGGTGACAGACCCGGCGGTGACCTCGAAGTCCACACGGACCTCACCGCAGGGTCCGTCGCCACAAGGTTTTGGGACCTCGGAGGCCCCAATCGCCCGAGACATCCTCGACGGACGACCCGAGTCCCAAAGCCGTGCGGTGACGCCGCGAATCCCCGCCGACGCACCACGCGGTGTGGTCACCACCCCGTTGGGGGGCCCCCGAACAGCTCGTCCTCCTGCTCCTCGCCCCCCAGGGCACGGCGGACCTCGGGGAGGGGGCGGGGGGGGGCGCGTGCTCCTGGGCGGCCGCGCCGCCCGATCGCCGGATGGGCGAGAGCTGCTCCCTGCGCGGCTGCGGAGAGAGAGGGACGGGAACACGAAGGAGAGAGGGACGGGGAGATAGGGAAAGAGAGAGAGAGAGAGAGAGAGAGAAAGAGAAACATATATATATATATATATATATATATATATATATGTATAGAGAGAGAGAGAGAGAGAGAGAGAGAGAGAGAGAGAGAGAGGGAAAGAGAGAAACGCAGAACAAAAGGGAGAGAGAGAGAGAGAGATCACAGGAACAGACATGTACACAGGCGAATGAAGCCATCTGCGCAACCAGGAACCCTCGCGCGCGCCAGGCGCGCGCCCAGGTTCTAGCTACCCCAGGGAGCTCCGCACCATGGACAACATAGTTTCGAAGATAGCGCGGTCGCGACTGATGGCGCGGTTAGTGGTCGCGCTCCTACAATTCGGTGACTATTTTGCCGGTGAAGCTTTTGACGGACTGTAGGAAAATTCGTGGCTGGGGCGCAGGTCGTCCTAGCTGCCCTTTCAGACGACAGCTAGCCCTTCTTGCAGGCATAATCTGCAGGAGCGTTTTCCCTTGTCAGAACTCGGTGCTGAAGCCAGCGCCGCCGGCTGCTGAAACAAATGCCCTTCGTAAACATTGTATGCTGGAACCCACCCGTCTTGGCGGCATACTCTGGTGGAACCAGTGTCCCTCATGAAAATTGGGTGCTGGAGCCCACGCCGTGGGCTTCTGGAACCGCTGTTCCTAATACGGAGGCGTGCTGGAACATGCCCTTCTTGACGGCAACAACTGCTGGACCGACCTTCCTTCGTAACACCTGGGCGCTGGAGCCACAACCCGCTTATGGCCTTGGCCTTGGTAAGATATAAATGCGTAAGGTCGGGGAGAAGGGGGGTGCGGGGCCCAGGGGTGGGTGTCCTGCCATTGTAGTCACGCCCACTTCTCAAACGGGGGCAGAGGGTGCGCGTGCGCGCGTGCGCGCGCGCAAGCTCGCCCGAGCCCGACCCCGACCCCGACCGCGAGCTGGATACCGAGTCCGAGCCCGAGCCCCATCCTGAGCGCGGGCGTGCGCACGCGCTTCTCGTATGTTAACATGAGGGCAACACTTTCACTACCAACAATGTTCACCTGACAGTAGTGATCAGTCCCAGGGGTGTGATTCTGGTTAGGCTGAGGGGGTGGGCTAAGGGATGGGTGGTGGAGGCGGGGCCCCGCTCAGGAGTAGCGGTGGAAGTTGTCTAGGGTCCAGAAGCTCAGCGTCAGAGCGACGGCTCGCTTTTGGCCTACTGAGGGTCAGTAGTGCTATTATTCTAAGGCCGTGGCCTGCTCTTAGATTGGGGCCGAGCGCGCAGCACTTACTGATATATTGACAGAGTCTCGCACTGCATGCATGCGTGCGTCGAGGTTTGGGCTTCGCCTTGCTTACAGGGGTAAGGGTGTCAACTTTGTTGTTGTTGTTTTCTTTTTTCCCATCTGGGATACGGCTGGATGGAGCGAACTTCCATGTGAACGGCTTTGAGTTCGTGGGGTGGGGGCGGGGCTGGGGTGAACGCTTCCATTCAAGGTGTAGAGGTCCAGAATTTAATTCCTTGTGAGTGAGTCGAGTCAAGGCCCGCACTTCGGTGAGGGTGTGAAGGTTTGGGTTAAAACGGGGGTCTACCGCGGCTACGATTCAAACGCTATAGATTATGTGTAGGGTTTCGGGCAGCGGGCCCAGCCAATGATTCTAACTTGGTTTCTGGGTAAGGCTCGCCTATGCGCTATGGCTCTGAAACAGCATGTAGTGTGTAATGCTTGCTGTCCTCTTCATCCTTACACCAAAATGCCCTCGCCCATGAATGATCTGACACAGGCTCACGATGTTACCGCCAATGCGCCCAGAACATGGGCCTGGAGGCGCCCAAGACAAACTCAAATGATCCAAGAGGCCGTGCTCACGAAGCCGACGTCAAGGGACACATATTCGCTCTGAGCACTGGACAACCCCTAGGACGTCCCAACGAACCACCACACAGGAGCTTCTCAGACACTGCTTCACCTCCAACACGCCGAACGCGACGCCTCCGCAAAACGGCCGCCGCCCCAGCAGCTCCGCACTGACGGCGCATACTCGGCCAACCGACAGCGATGAGACAATGTGGGCCGGCGGAATGAGCGAAGCGACAACTTCTGCGGTTCTTTGCTCCGAGCACCACGTCTCGGCGCTTCTGGCTTTCACGGGCCAAAACTGGCCCACTCGGCAAAACCGCGGGCGGCGAGGGGGCCATAGACCCTAAGTCATCGGAGAACCTCCTGGATCTTTTCGGGGGAGGAAGAGGACGATGCTGCTAATGATGATGATGATGAGGAGGAGGGAGGGAGGGAGGGAAGGAGGGAGTAGGGAGAGGAGGGAGTCAAGAATCCCGACCTGTCTTCTCTGGAGCCGGCAGCCACACCGCTGCGCCGGATGGGAGAGCGGCCATCGCCGCCGTCCTTGCGGTCGC